GGTGTATATTTGCAGTGATCATACCTTTTCGTAGCCTATCAGGTGATGGGGACCCTACTTTGGGGAATTGTGATCACCACCAAGTTCGCGTTCATCTGCATCATGGGAGAGCAGATGAGCGTTGAGGTGAGTCGGGACCACAATGAAAAAGATAAGATTAAAAGAACTTCTTTGAAAACGACTGTGCTTATGATCACTCTCCTCCTGTAGAATAGAAGGATTTTGGCCGCCTTGCAGACTGGACTGGCTAATCACCCAGACATGGATTTTCAAAGAAAAGGAGAAGTAGGTTCGCCTTACGTAATCACACACACACGCGCGGGATTTTCATTGTACACATACGTACTTTTTTTACTATTACAGATTTCCAGGTTCATTCATCAGATACAAATGCAAGATATCCGTGTGAAGGCTTTTGATTCCAGCAGTTATTACGATTTGACTACTTTGAAGAGAGTAAGTAGTGTGCTTTTGCAAAACTCCCATACAGATTCTTTTTTTTTTTCGAGATTTACATTTACATTACATAACGAGATTTTGTATGATTTACCCGGTCCTAGGCCGTCGCCTCGGTCGCCACCTTCATCATCGTTTTGATCCAATTCGCAGCCCTCGTGGCGCAGGCGGCCAGTGACGGCTCAGTACCGAAATGCAACTGCCAAAAATGCTAGGCTGCCAAAAATATGTTCTGTTTTGACAACATGTACCTTCTCTGAACGAAGAAACTATGAAATCTCTACATTTCACTCTGGAAACCGCGTTGTGAGGCAGTCTCACACCAAATAGTGTGGGACCCTCTGTGTCTGGTGATTGGGGTAAATGTATCATTACATGAAAACGACGAAACGATGAAGAGTCATCGCAAGCTTTTATCAAAGAAGTGTCGGAAACTTATTCTAACCTCGGCAAATCAGCACTTCGGCAACAAATGCTCGCGCGCAAAGGTCAACAACGCCAATGGATCAATTGGCTGAGGAGTGGGGAGCGTGTTAAGTGAAACGCCCATCAGTCGGCCGTGGGGGATGACGCACCCAAGCACTTCGTTTTGGTCAGCAACTCGAGAGCAACTTGCCCCACCCAATAATAGGGTATTTCACCTGAGTACTTCACTATAGTATGAGAGTAGTGCATTATGGAGAGGCAACGAAACGTCCCTGCTGGTGTACATGGCAGAAAATTTTGTTCTTTTCTACTAACTTACTTTTTTCTAGGGAAGTCCTTCCCAAGTTGAACAGAATTTTAAGAAGAACAGCAAGGCACAATGTTTCCTGAACCCTTTTTTTCAACAAGAACTTTGTCGTCGGCGTCAGCTTCGCAGGAAAGCATCCACTGGATCTCATCTTTGGATCGGCGGGGTTTCGCTGGGGTGACGTGTACCCTATTAGTGTACCCCATTTCGTAGAGTACTCGGTCGAACACGCCGAACGAGTTTTCCCCCCGCAGCGTCTTTTCTTTCTTTCTCTGCGGAGCTCTTGCGCAACATTCACAGAAATGAAAAAAGAAAAGAGTAAATGTGACGTTTGATGTCTGAAGACTAGCGCACGCGCGGCACTTTGCGGGATCGAAAATCAATCTCGTTTCTCCTCCGCTACTACTACACCCCCTTTCTCTCTCTCTCTCTCTCTCTCTCTCTCTCTCTCTCTCTCTCTCTCTCT